TGATCTTTTTGGAATACATCTAACAAGAAATGGTCGCTGAAACTTACGTGATTTAGCCCCCGTTTGTTTTCCATTATTTATCCGTTAAAATGAAAAATATGACCGTTATCCATCACATCAAGTCATCATATTTGACATTCTATCTCTTGTGTGGAACCCGTAACAACTATATTTTTTATTCTTATTTTTACATTAATGTGTACCAAACGGGGCCTTAAAATTTATCTTGCGATCCATTTAATAACTAAAATTAAATAATGTTATATAATTGATCACTACATTAGCGAAATCCATTTTTAGACGAAATGCTAATCCGTTAAACCTTGACAACTACTATGATCATTTGTATATGTCATATATTTAAAACAATCAAAATAAGAAGTGAGTTTTAGGAGTGAAAAGCTCACATTTAGCCTAAATTTAACCAAGTCCATTCCAAATCCAATGTCAGCCCATTAAACCTTAACATCAACTCACAATAGTTGATTTCATATCATGTAATTACAAACCCTAAAAGACGAGGTTTTAGAAGATGCCCTATAATGAGAGGAGTTTATATATATGTACATCGAGATGCCTAGATTTAGTCTATAATCTTCTCTTAAAGGAAGGTGTGTTGCTTATCTCGTGGGCACTACCCTTAAATTCCCAATATGTTGTTTGTTGGAATTAGGTTTTTATTGATATTGTGAGATTGCTTGTTTGTAATTGAAATTACCTTTGAAGAAAAAAATATGCAATTCAAATGCCAAGTTATCGCTGTTAGTTTAGTTTTCCCCTAGCAGAACAGAAATAAGTGCCAAGGAAGTGGGGAAGAACTTGTAGTTCCCAATTATAGAAAGTGAATCTTGCAAATTGATGCAAGTGATCTATATTGGACAACAGTTCTCTTGGAGGAAAAAGAAATATTTGTAGATACAAAGGTGAATAATTCTCAGGAGCACAAAAGCATTACCATTCCACTTTCAAAGAAATGTTAGCAGTCCATGGTATTGAGAAATTCCAATTTCATCTCATTAGACATAAGAATTTTGTTTGAAATAAATATGTCAGCATTCCCTAAAATGCTCTCATTCAAAAGAAAATAACGCCCAACAATGTTTTGAAAATCAAATTGATTGAAAAAATCGAGCCCGGACAGAGATCCAGTCCTGTTATAGGGTAAAAATCAAATGAAAAGAAACCGTCAAAAAAATCAATGAACCATCCAGTTCAATAGGAACCTATGAATCGAATGAGGGTTTTTGCAGGTTTAACAGTTGATCTTCAGCAAATATATCAATTGATTCCCCCTAACTCATTTATCAATAAAAAAAAATTAAATTTTTAAAATTCTTCCCTAACTCATATAATGAACTCTTTGAAATAAATATACATCTCTCCCCAGTATATCATGAATAATAAAGAAAAGACAAGTAATAATCATGTAAAACACATAGAGGAATAAGTAAAAGAAAAATATGCAAGTGTGATAAGTGCCTCAAACTCCTGTAAAGAAGTCTTGAAATGTTAAATCAATGAGAAGGGACATGCGAAAAAATCAATGGTAAATGAATATTTTCCTCAAAGTATGAAGTCAAACTCAGTGCTACTAGACCCTTATAACGAGTTTTGGGACGATGACCCAAGTCAGATGACCAAAGGGTTTTAGGTTTTGAGAAATCTCTCAAGCTTAATTGCTCGTATCAAATAGGCTCCGGAGAAGAGTATAAGATGTATCTCATTTTTTTTTTTTATGTATTTCAAAATTTGAATCACTAACTTCTTTTTCTTTTATAGAGAATATACAAGAGTTTAGGTTAATCTAATTTAAGGTCATTTCATATTTAAAGTAAATTCACCACACAGATGACCGCATCACAAATCTCAAAAATGCGACCAAGACCTAATCACAATAGTTTAATGAGTATAGTACATAAGATACATGTAATAACAAATTAATGTAAATTTAATTTACTAATCATGAACCTTACTAGTACTTGTTAGCAAAAATAGCAAGCCCAATAAAAAAAATTAAAAAAAAATCTTTTTCTTTTTCAATTTTTTAATAAAGAATAAGGTAAAGTGGAACTCCTAATATACAATTAATGTATGTGCGTGCATGAAAATATAGATATCATAAAATATGCAAATGCATGCCCATAAGTGCCTAATCAATAAGGCACACAAATGCTCTTACCATGAAGAGCAACATGTGGAACTTCACAGTAATCAACATTATCTAAATTTGTGATTTCACTCTTCTTGGCCCAAATCTTCTTAGAAAAAGATGTAATGTGAGTCAATTGAGTCATCAGTTTAGACAAACAACTCACTTGGGTCAGTCAAGAAACTAACTTGAGTAGTTAGATCATGATTGTTGTACTTAACCAAGGACTTACGACAATTAGGTGTAAGGTGATCTAAAACATCACAATTATGACAGTAGGAATAAATTTAGGAACAATTATAATTTTTATATTTTGAACCTTAGGTGGAGGAAATCTATGTTGTACAGATGATTCATAGATTTCGGTCATCAGACACCTACATTCTTGATCTTGTTCTTATTCAAGAGCTCGTGACACTTAGGTCTTATGTGTCTTATCTTAGCACAATGGTCGCACGTGTGGATGAACCTATGAGCAACTCTAGGTTTCAACTTTTGAATCTTTGGTACAAACTCATTTTTTGAAGAGGAAATAGTATAAGAATTTATATCATTAAAGCCTAAACCTCCTCTAGTCCCAACTATTTTATTCAGGCATATCATATTGTCATATTTCTTGAATCCACTCGAGAAAGCATGAAGTTGAATATTAGACTTCTCAAAATCGCTCATAAGAGTTTTACCCTTCTGATGGACTCTTCGAAGTCGGTCATATGGGTCTTAACCTTAGTCTGTAAGGATTCATTCACAACATTTAACTTATTAAGGCTTTTCATTAATCTTCTTAAGAATGACTCTATTTGTCTTTTCACCCTAAGATTCTCGTGAAAACATTTGTTCATAAGCTTATGAATATTTTCCTCAACTTCAAATACATCATTAGAATGTGATTGACTCATCTAGATAAAATAGGTTCAGGGAGCACGATTAAACTTTGATACCACTTGAAAGTTTAGATTACCAATTTATTTAGACCAAATATGCATAATTATACAATTAAAAGTAACAAGTAAATTTTTAATTGTTCATAGATTATTAGATCAAACAAGTCAATGTATCCTATGTTTGAAACCGTAGTATGTATATTGCACAAAGTAAATAACATCAATATGATATGGAGAAAACCTTTCGCGAAGGATCAAAAATTTCGGGCACTTTGCTAGTCAACAATCCACTATAAACAATGAGACTTACAGCATGGTCTAGACCGACTATTCTTAGTTTACTTTTACGTTTTTCCTATAATCTCTTTGGCCCGTGCTCCTCAGACCAACTCTTAACCCTTGGTATCATTTTTCTCCTGTGGACCTTTAAGAAAGAATCTCGTTCTGTAGCGTCGGAACTCCAATCCTCTTCCCAAAACTTCAGCCACTCTGAAGGCTAATTGGAGAACGTAGGTTTGGTTTTTGATCAACAATCTTATGTGTGTTTGATCTGTGGTTGGATGTAGAAGTATATGGCTTGATCAACAAAACAATGCTTGTTTTAATTTATGGATCAAGTAATTAATGGTGGTTGAATCTAGAAATCAATGAATGTTTTGGATCTTCAAATGAATGATCTCTATACATTAATTATGATTCAACACAGTTTGGGATTAGGATATATAAAGGACAACGTTTTGGGATAAAAAGGAACTAAAAAATCAATGTTTGAAGCAAAACATAATTCTAAGCGTTGACCCGTTGCTCGGACGCTAAATGAGTGGCCAGGGAGCACCGTTTGAGCACTCGTCAGTATTTGTATTATAACTTTCTCTTCCGACGTCGAATTGAGAAGATTCAAAATGCGTTGAAAAACTGAACCAATGGGCTATGATGTTTCAAAGTAACATTTTTCAAATTCGGATGTCTTCTATGTTAAAAATGTGTTGCAAATTGTGACTCAGAATTTTAGGGCACTACTTATGCGGCTATTTGACACTCTTAACACTTTTAATTGCATTCCTCGATCATATGTGATCTTCTTCAACATTTATGACTTCTTGGACTCCTTCAAGACCTATAATAACAATCCTTAACTAACTTTGATTACAATTCAATAAACTCTTAAGACAATACAACTAAGACTTGATGATTTTGACTTTAAAATTTGCCATTTTATAATTTGAACTTAATAATCTCCCTCGTTGGCATTACTTGACAAAATCATCTATTTCAAAGTCAAAAGTCCACTACAATCTACCTAATAAACACTTTCCAAAATACACTTCAACAACTTGTTAACCTGTTTCTTATAACACATGGAAATCACAATACCACATGAAACACGAGAGGAATATACCAAAACCAAAATCATATAACAAAGTTAAATAAAACACAAAATCAAACTTGTGTAACACCGAAGCATGCAATATCATGTGAATTATAAACTTAGAAATAACTATAAAATTTTAATATCAATATTGACAAAACACAACACGATATCATTAATGAAATTCTTGCAAATATATCAATTGATTCTCCTTAAGTCATCTATCAATCAAAAATTTTAAATTTTTAAAATTCTTCTCCAAAATCATAATCAACTTTCTAAAATAAATACACATCTCTCCTCCCTTTTTGTCACGAATAACTAAGGAAAGACGAGTAATAATCATGTAAAACACATAGAGAAATGGGTAAAAAAACATGCACATAGATAATGATGCAAAAATTATGCAAAAACATATGATAGGAGAATAAAAAATTTCCAATTTCGACACCAATTTTTTTTTTTCAGAAATTTTTATCTTGAAAAGTTATTTGCTTACTTTTACATGTATGGTTCATGAAAATGTTATCTTCTCCCGCATAACTTATTTTAAACCTAAATGGAGTGAATTGTATAAGCTACACATGTGTGATAAGTGCCACTAAACTCCGGTAAGCACATCTCAAAATCTTACATCAATGAGAAAAGATATGCAAAAAACACAAGTGAATGAATGTTTTCATCAAAGTATAAAGGCAAAACAGTTCTACTAGGACTATTTAAATAAAAAGCTCATATTGATTTTTTAATGTATATATTTTCTTTCTCTCCTATCAATAAGTACATATATAATTTTCTCTCTCTCTTTTTTATATCTTATATTCAATATTTTCTCTATTAAGCGATAAAGATGACCCTTGTAATAAACTTTAGGCCGATTGCTCCAAGTCAGATGACCATATAGCATCAGGTTTTGAGAAACCCCTCAGGCTTAATTGCTCAAGTCAAATAGGCTCTAAAGAAGAGTATAAGATGTATCTCACTATTTCATATATTTTAAAATTTGAACCACTAACATCTTTTTCTTTTATGGGAATAAATAAGAGTTTAGGTCAATCTAGTTTAATATTATTCCATATTCAAAGTCAATAAACCACACAGATGACAGCCATCCTAAATTTTAAATATGCAATCAAGACCTATTCACAAGAGTTTAATGTGTGTAGTGCATAAGATATATGTAATAACCTATATCAAGTACTTCACACCAGTTCTAAATAAATTGATTGAAATTTAATTTATCAATCAAGAACCTTACTAGTACTTGTTAACAAAATAACATGTCTATAAAAATTTTTAAAAATTATTTTTCCTTTTTCAAAATTTTTAATAAAAATGTAGCAAAAATAAATTCCTAATATACAATGAATCACTACACAAAAAATGATCATTTGCAATATATAAAAAGCAACATTCGGTAGTTAAATGTTCTTAAAGGGGTCTATTGCAACATTTTAATAAGTGAATGTTGCAATTAATTAATTTAATTGAGTTTTGACAATATTTAACGTTTGTTGAACATTGCTTAAAAATTTATTTTTTTCAACGTTCAAAAAACGTTGTAAAATATATAACTTTAAGACCTTGCAAATGTTGAGAAAACGCTTTTGAAATAAATAAATAAAAAAAATAAAATAAGGAGGCTTAAATTTGAAAATGAGAACGAAAAAACATAACCCTACACTATCCTTCTATTTCCCCATCTCTCTCTTGCTTGGTCGCCTCCTTCCCGGTTCCCTTCAAATCGTCTATGCCAACCCTATAAATTTGAAGCTACTCTAGCCAGTCACCATCCACGGCAGATGTCAAAGCGCTACTCATCGTCGGCCAACCTACCCAAGCCATAAGGTCAGTTCATCTTCTATCTCAAGATTCTTGCAATCTGTCTCAAGAAATCGATTATTTTATCCACAAATTTTTGCGTGAGGTTATCTTTTTTCTAAATTCATTTTGCTCGTTTGCCCCATCTTTAATTCTTCGCACTATTTTTATTGACATAAATATGGTCGCAATTCAGTCGTATTACGATTGGAATGCCTGAAGATCATTTCGTGTTTCCCGTGTGCGAGGGTACCATTCTTCCAATTTTATATTGGATTGTATCTGATCGGTACATATCGAAATGCATGTTGAAATTTAAGTAATTTTACGTGTTAATGGGTATTAGGAATAAATTTAACGCATGGTAATATTTATTTACTTTGTTCGGGAATTGCTTGTTGCTCATTTCTATCTCCTTGGGACTTTTAAGCCTTTAATTTTTGGTATCTAATACTGGTGGGCCTTGGAATGTTAGGATATTGAGCATCAACTCTTCGAATCTTATCTTTAGGGAGAGAAAAATAATAGAAAAAGGAAAAAAATCTGACAGAAAAATTAACTAAAAATACCCCCCCGCCCCGCAAAACTTTTTGTATGCTGTGATTATAAGGAAAGCATAATAATCATGTGCATCAAGTGATTATTATCTATTACTTCAGAAAAAAGATCATAATTGTTTTTATTGACATAAATTTGTAAATCAGAAAAAGATTACCTTATGCAAAAAAGATTATCAATGAAACTATTTATTAATTGAAGCTTTCTATTAACTTCATTCAATTAAGTAACATTCATATTGTTGTTGTTTGGTGTAATGCTTAAATTGCAGTTTGTTTACTTCAAATTGGACTATAACAAAATATATACTGTGAAAATCTAGTATTCTTCTCAGTAATTTCTTGACTTCCTTTTTTTATATATTTTTTCTTTTTCTCTAGATAAATCATGTAGTTAGTTTTTGAATTTTGATACCTGGATTTGTGATTAGTTCATAGGCTGGGTCTACTTTTTGCTGAAGTAATGTGTACGTACTTGTGTCTGTTTACTATAGAGGAGAAGATGTATGAAGTATGTTTATTGAAAAAAATGCACTAGTTTGCTGTGTGGCACTCCTCTTACAATATGAAGAATGTTATGGCATTGTAATTTTTTGCTAGTGATAAATTTAAGCTAAAAATTTGCCTCAGTGTGTCATTTTGATATGAGCTGCAACTCTGTCCCATGAAGCTGTGATGTAAACAATTTTTACATTTCTACTTCTTCCAAAATGTCCTGACTGAGGTATGAAAATTAGGTCATAAACTCATAATTAACTGGATTAGATATTTAATGAGGATGTGTTAGAAGTTGGTTTCATTAAATATGCAGCCATATTGTCATGTTACAAACTACAAGTCAATTTGGTCTACTTATGAATAAATGTTGGTTTCAGCTCCCCAATTCGAGCAGTGCAATGTGAAGCTTACTTGTCATTAACATACTCTGCCATATGTTTAAGAATGTGTTCAACTTGTGTTATGAATCTAATTTGATTTTGTATATTGATTGAAATTATATAACACTTGTTGATTGATCTCAAATTGCCTTCTTTCAATGTGTATGTGGAGCCACTTCTTTGTTTTTGTTTTTTTTTTTTGTTATAGAGCTTTGCATTCTCATAAGTTACCGAACAGAACTCTTCTATTTAAACTGGCTATTGCAATATGCTTTCCTATATTGTTAATAATGGCTCATGGGGTTACATAACTCGGGAATATGATCTTTTACAAAAACAGTACCAAAACTCGAACCAGGGTCATGAAAAGAGTGAAAAATGACGACAAGTTGGAGTTCCCTGAAACCACAATCATGGGGTTGGAGAATCATAACAAAAGGGCATGGGTTGAAAGAATGTCTGAGGTCAGAAAACTGTCAATTTCTCTAAACTTAGATGCAATATAAATGCATTGAATTTAGCTTAATCAAGTTGAAACATACGTGATTTGCAGGTTGATGTCAAGGACAGGGGACCAGCAGTGAGTGTGATCAGCTGCAACATATCTGCAGCAACATCACTTTCTTCAATCTCCCTTGTTCTCAGTTCCTTGATTGGTGCATGAATTGGGAGTTCCTCTGTAAACATCTTCAGAAGCAGTTTTGTTTATGGAAGCATAGACTCATCTATTGTTTCCATCAAATATATAGCTCCTCTCTCCTGCTTCCTGGTTGCTTTTGTTTTGTTTTTTCAGACAGCAAGGTATTTAGTTCATGCCAATTTCCTCATAAGCATGCCAAATAGTGATATCCCAGTAAGAATGTATTTGGTGGGATGTATCTTGATGGTTTTCTTTCCGTAATGTTTCTAACTTTTCTCCTTGTGTGGTGTTCAAGCTTTTCCAACACATTTGCCATTTTAATTTTTTTAGTAAATAGTTGAATATTCTTCTCTACTTTATTTCACAGTTTTTTGCTTCGATGCATGTATACTAGAAATGTTGCCCCATTCATAGAGTCCAGATTGCTTCCAAAAAGCAACCTTCTGGCATTATTTCTTGGTCAGGAAAATTTCTTGCAGAAAAGTTACCTAAAATTTCGCTTTCTAAGAGCAGCAGGATATATATTGTTGACATATATATCTCTCTCCATAAAGAATGAATTGCTGACTCTTGGCTGTTTAATATTTATTTCTTGAGGCCAAAAGTAAAATAAATTTCGTTAGATAAATAAAAAAATTCCGTTCTTTACATGAGTTTAAATTATTTAACTTTTCCAATCTGATATCATTAGTCACACCAAAACACTCTTGGAGAAAGAATGGGTAGTCTTACTGATAAATAGCTCAAGAATTAATTATTCAGGATACTGTTTTATAATGTAGGTTTACATTTTATACATGGATTATTTTGATGGCATGTTTCACAGTTTCAGCCTCGTGAAACCTTCATACTTCATGACCTCTAAAAATTAATTTTTTATAAATTGATAATTTCTATTATATGATAAAATATTATATTCACTGCCTATTACTTTATAAAGTTTATACTGTATATGAATACCCAACACATAACACATTTCATTAAGGCTTCGTTTAGTGCACCAATAGGTCATATAAGCAATTTAGTACACCTATAATATATAGTCGTATGTAGATGATATTGTGTTGTAATAATATTCTTTTTTGTTAATTCAAAAGATAAGTCATTTGCTCTAGACAGTAGTGAATCATGTTGCTTTATCAATCTTAAAATGGGATTGGGAGTAAAACCAGCCATGATCTTGCCTCATGGGCGTGCATGAGAGCAAGGTGAGTTTATTAAGCCTGGTGCGACATATTCAAGACAGGCCAATGTGGTGAAGGCTAAAAGTTTGGTGTATGTCCTAACTTAGTGTCCAACATGTTATTATGTACACCCGTCATTATAATGTAGAAGAGTGGAATGCCGACCCCTAATGTTTTTAACCTTTGTGGAAATTCTACATCACAAAACTTAAACTTAACCTTTGTTTGTTCAATTCTCAATGGTAAGAACAAGGTCAAATTTTGTATCAATGGTAAGAACAACGTTTAAGCTTTATTCTTGGTTTATTCAAAAGAAGTGTAGTTGATGGTTTTGCATCCATGCCTATGATAATAATTCCGGTGAAAGTTTTAGAGGAAAGAGAGTTGAAGTTGTGGGATGTGGAAATTCAGGCATGGAAGTGTCTCTTGATCTTTGCAACTATGATGTGGTTTATGAGTTTTCTTTTTCAAGTTCATGTATTGCCAATGATTCTTAATTATTTTTCTTTGCTTTTCTTCTTGATTATAATTGGTACAAATGTCTACAATTTGGTATCTATATTTATCTCATTTTTTAAGGCCATGACCGATATTTAAGGCAAGGCTCATGTCGAAGATTGCTGAGAAGAAAATTGAGGTCGATAATAATAGTTTTGTTTTTTTTTTTTTTTTTTTTTGGGTAAAATGTATTGGATTTTTAGGTGTTTTAGAATTTTGGATCTGGATTTCATACGAATATTGTTACATTTTAGAGTTCAATTAATAATGATTATTGGAGTTATTTGATATAATTATTTTCTATTATGTTTTGTGGTTGATACATGTGAATTACTCTTAATTAAAAAAAAAAAAAAATTGACCAACAAATGTTGCAAAAGATAGGCTTTTGCAACGTTTAACAAACGTTGCAAAAACTCTTCCCCATCTTTTGCAACATTTAACAAACTTTGCAAAAACTCTTCCCTCAACAGTAACATTAACTTGTGTAACACGCTAAAACGTTGCAAAAGATCTTTTGCAACATTTTTTTGATCGTTGCAAAAACTTTTTTTTGGTGTAGTGAATGGATGTCCATGCATGAATATATAGATATCATGAATAATACAAATACACACATAAGTGCCTAATCAATGAGGTGCACAAGGGCTTTGATATGACCCGAGATAGGACGCAAATTAGCAAGAATTTGACGAATGTTAACAAGAGGCTATTTATGACTAATTCTAGCCAAAAAAATCGAGTTTTCACTTGCTTGAAGTATGGAGACCAAAATGCTGAGGATAACATACAATTGAACAAGTTTGATGAAGAACCCAAGAGCCGAAATAACTTGAGGCAATGCAGTTCAAGAAGTTGGGAATTGGGCATGCCATAAAGCCATGCGACCGCAAGGCTTTAAGCCTCATGCGGTCACCCAAGAGGAAGCAGAAAACATGATTGACAGCGAGGGTTGATCCATCTGACCGCATGGAAATATACCAAGTGGCCGCGTGGTGTATTTTGAGACCAAGAATTATAGTTTTTCTCGAAAGTTTCCTATTTGCTTTAGAACTCTAATATTTTAGCATTTTTACAATATTTTCCACTTATTTTCCTTTTAACATTAGGTTTTAGGACTTGTTATAAATATGACTTATTTCATTCATTGAAATTTTAAGACTTTTGGTATTGAGAAATAATGGAGAGGCTTGTTTGCTTCCACTTTCTTGTTCTTAATTGATCAATTCAAATTTATCAAGATTAACAATCTTGTGGCGTTCACAAATTTGGGTGAGGTTTAATAATTGTATGATCAAGAGGTGAACAAATTCATTATTGTTAGTTGCTTGGTTCATAGTTTTTAGATTAAATCTAAAACCTTGAATCTTTGGCGTTCTTGGGATTCGGTTGCAATATTTCGTAGCCGTCATTGCTATGTAGGTTCACATCATGCTATTACTGTAGAGAGCAACATGAGGAACATCCAATTATCAACATCATCTAGATTTGTGAGTTCATTTTTCTTGATCCAAATCTTCTTAGAAAAGATGTAATATGAGTCAATTTAGTCATTAATTTAATTAACTCACCCAATCAGTCAAGAAACTAACATGAGTAGTTAGATCTCGATTGTTGTACATAACCAATGACTTATGACAATTGAGTCTAATATGACGTAAAATACCACAATTATGACATATGGGAGTAAATTGAGGAACGATCCTAGGTTTTATATTTTGAATCTTAGGCGGAGGGAATGTATGTTGTACAAATCATTCTGTCCTCGAACACCTACATTCTTGACTTTGTTACATTCTTGATTTTGTTCCTATTCAAGAACTCATGACACTTAAGTCTTATGTGTCCTACCTTACCATAATGGTGACACGTGGGGATGAACCTAGGAACAATTCTAGGTTTCAAGTTTTGAATCTTAAGCTTCAAAGTAGGTACAAACTTATTTTTTGAAGAGGAAGTAGTCTGAGAATTTGTTTCAATAAATCACAAACCTCATCTATCCATAACTATTTTATCAAGCATGTCATACTGTCAAGTTTCTTGAATGAAGTTGAGTATTAGACTTCTCAAGATCGCTTGTAAGAGTTTTAACCATAGGCTCTAAGGACTCCTCCACAACTTTAAACTCACTAAAGCTTTTAGTGGACTCCTTGAGGTCAGTCGTAAGGGTTTTAACCGTAGTCTCTAAAGGATTCATCATAGCATTCAACTTACTAAAGCTTTCGGTAGAATTTTGAAGGCCACATATAAGTTTTTCTATCTCTAGCTCAAGTACATTAACCGTCTTAAGAACGGCTCTATTAGTCTTTTTCACATTAAAACTCTTGTGATACAGCTGTTCATAAGCCTCACGAATATTTTCCTCATCTTCAGATATATCATTAGAATGTGATATACTCATCTAGATAAAATAGGGTCAAGGAACACAAATTAAGCTCTAATACGACTTTAAAGTTTAGATGATTGATTTATTCGGACCCAACGTGCAGAATTGCACAATTCAAAGCAACAAGTAACTTTTTAATCGTTTCTAAATTATTCGATCAAACAAGTCAATTTATCCTTTGTTTGAACACCACAGTTTGTAAATCACACAAAGTACATAATACCAATATGATCACGGAGAAAACCTTATGCAAAGGATTAAAAACTTCGAGTACTCTACTAGTCAACAATCCACTATAAACAATGAGACTTACAATATGGTCCAGACCTCACTAACCCTTAGTCTTCTCTGACCTTTTTTTGTAGTCATCTTGGCCCTCTTGGACTATGTGCTTTTCACACCAACTCTCAACCCCTGATATCGTTTATCTCCTATGGAACTCCAAGCACCTCTTCCAAAACTTCCAACAACTCTGAAGGCTAATTGGCAAAGGTAGATTTGGTGTTTGATCACGATCTTCTGTGTGTTTGATCTATGGTTGGATGTAGAAGTATATATCTCAATCAACAAAACAATGTTTGGTTGAATTTATGGATCAAATAATCAATGTTGATTGAATCTAGAAATTTAATGAATGGTTTGGATTTTAAAAGGAATGATCTCTATGCAATAATAATGATTCAACACACTTTGGAACATTCGTATAATATGTATGTATGTGTATATATATAGGAGAATGTGTTTGGGATGAAAAGGAATTGAAAAATCAATGTTTAAAGCAAAATAGAATTTTTGGGGTGTCGACCAATTGCTCGAACGCTAAGTGGGTAGCCAGCGAGCAATGTTTGAGCAATCATCAGTATTTTATCATAACATTTTCTCTCGATGTCATATTATCCGAGCATTGTCTCGGAGAGAGGTTTGGTGAAATAAACATGTCTGTAAAGATACGGATTACCTGCACTGTGATTCAAAATGCATTGAAAAGCGGATTCAAAGGGCTGCAATGCATCTAGAAATAGCATATTTCAAATTTGAATGTTTTTATGTGAAAAATTCGTTGCAAATTGCAATGAGAGTTTAGAGCATAACTTGTGCGCCTCTCTCAGACATTTTTAAATTTCTAATTGCATTCTATTGATCATATGTGATCATTTTGGATATCTTTAACATCTTGGACTCCTTCAAGGCCTATAATACCAATCTTTAACTATTTTGACTTTGATTACAACTCAATAAACTCCTAATACAATTCAAATAAGACTTGATTTTGACT